CGCGCAGCAGTGCAGCAGGAGGCCCCCGAGCAGCAGGAAGCCGCCCCGCCAGCCGAAGTGTTCCAGAAGCTTCTGGCCGAGCGGCGACAGCGCCGACAGGAACACGGGGCTGCCCGCCGCCGCCAGCCCGTTGGCCAGAGGCCGCCTGCGCTCGAAGTACAGCCCCAGCATGATGAGCGACGGCTGGAAGTTGAGCGCCAGGCCCAGACCTGCGGGCGGGACACGGAACCCCGGCACCCCAGCCAGAAGATCAGGGGCCGCCCCCCGGGGAGGGGGCACTGAAGACAGGCGGGCCTCCCCCCTCGCTCCCCCTCCCCCCCGTCGGGGACAGTGGTGGGTGGGCGTCAGCACCTGTGAGCACCCCAGCCGTCAGGTACAGCTCCAGGAGGCGTGTGGCGAACGAGGCCAGGACCATGCCCGCCGAGGCCAGCAGCCCACCCGCCAGCATCACCGGGCGACAGCCAAAGCGGGTCACTAGGATGCTGGACACAGGACCTGCGGGGCAGGGCAGGGCAGGGTCGTCACCGGGGTGGAACCTGGCACAGTGCGCTTGCCAGCCCGGGGAGGTACCTTCCAAGGGTTAATCAATTCAGGGACCCAGAGAGGGCAGTGTTAGGTCAAGTCACATGGTGGGCACAGCTGGGACAGACAAGGAGACAGTTCCCTGGGAGGCACTGACTGGCCCAGAGTCCCATCCCTACCCCTCCTGAAAAGCCAGTGTCCAAAGAAGGGCCATCCCACCCCAGAGCCTGGGCAGACCTCCCCATCCACCCACCCCCAGCGCAGTCTGGAGTCCCCACAGCTTGGCTCGGCCACAGGGGGCTGGCAGGACGAGAACGAGGGTAGAGAGTCCACCGTGAAATGGGTGGGTGTGTTGGGCAGGAATGGAGGGGCCCCACGGGCTGGCCAGGAGGGAATTCCCGGGGTTTCCTCCCACCCCGGGTGCTCAGGGGTCCAATGGCCCCCGGTGCCTCATCCTGAGCCCTCACTCCCGACCCCAGGCCGCGGGGAGGGGGGCTGCTGACCGGTGCCATAGAGCATGGCCAGCATGATGGAGGACACCCAGGCCGTGTCGCTGTAGCCGGCCCCGAAATCTTCCCGGAGCGCGCGGAAGAAGACGCTCACGGCCTTGGGGAAGCCATAGGCGAACCCGGTGACCACGAAGCAGGCGCCCAGCACGACCCAGCCCCAGCCGCCGTCTGGAGGGCCCACACCCCGCCGAGGGGAGCCAGCGCCCATCGCTGCAGCCTGTGCTGGAAGGAGGGGGTCAGGAGGGACCTGCCGTTACAGTCCACACGAGATGGGGGTGACTCTTGATGGGGGAGATGGAGGCACCGGGATGTCCTCAACAGCCCTGCTCATGCTCAGAGCCAAGGGGAAACTGAGATAGGAGTTTTCAAGGGGCCTGGGGAAGGCGGGGGAGGCAGCAGGTCATTCCTACCTTAGGCTTGACTTGTGGAAGGCACTTCTTGCCCCTCAGAACCACTGATGGCAGAAGGGGGTCCGGGAGAGTGGGAGAGCCAGAGGTGCATAGGGACCGGTGTCCCCAGTGTGCAGTGTGAGGGCCTCAGGACTCAGGGGAGGGACACCTGGGGACAGACCAGCCCACAAAGTAGCCCCTGTGTGTGGAGTTTTCTTTACTTCCCTGACCATATGGTCCTGATTTTTCTCAGTGATAAGAAATGACTGTCATTAGGGCTTTTCAGGCACTACGTCATCGTCATTAGAGCTTTAGAAGAAGGGTGAAAAGGCTAAAACAGCTTCATTACAAAAGGAAATAATTAGCTTTGTCTCAGAAGCCTGGGAACTGGGTTCATCCCAGCCCCCACTTGTAAGGTTCTCGATCACCCCCAGGCCCGCTGGAAAGCCTGGAATCCCCAGGCACATGAGGGTTCTCTACTCTCACGGCCCTTCTTGTTCACGACTGGGATCCACATGGAAGTCACACCTGAGTGACTGCCCATCTTTCCCCTGCAGCAGGTGGATGGAACCACGTCCTTTGGCGTGACATGGCAACTTCTTTCCATGGAGCCACCAGAGCTCTCAAGCCCCTTGTTGTTAGGTGCCACTGAGTCGAGTACGACCCATAGTGACCCTGTGAACAACAGATCTGAACCCTGTCCTGTCCTGTGCCATCCTGACACTGCTGACACACTTGAGTCTACTGCTGCAGCGACCGTGTCAATCCACCTGGTTGAGGGTCTTCCTCTCCTTCGCCGTCCCTCCACCTTTCCAAGCATGATGTCCCTCTCCAAGGAACAGCCTCTCCTAACAGGATGCCTGAGGTCTGTGAGACAAGATACTAGAGCCCTACTGAAGACCCAAGCCCCCAGCAACACCCAAACCCCACCACATGTAGAGAAGTGCTCTGGAGTCTCTCTCACTTAGGGTGCCACCACAGGATTCACACAGCAGTCCCATGCACCCTGAGAGGTGAGGAAAGTGGCCCTCAGGTGGAACTTGAGGGACAGCCCAGAGCTAGGGCAAGAACCCAGGGCTGTGGGGCGGCCCCCTGCCCTCCTTGCCCAGTGTCTGGGTCCTTGTCCCTCCCTCGCCCAGGTGCATACTTCTCTTACCCATTTTCCTATTGGGCAGTGACATCTGGAAGCCCTCCCCTACTCACCTATCTGCTCTGGTGGGGCTACACCCTCATCTGTCCTCAGGCTGCTCCCCAGCACCCTGGTAAAGTGTATCCTGATGGGCTCAGTCCACAGGCGTCCCACCAGGATCAGCACCAACCTGGTTCCCCGCCCATCCTCCCGCCCAGGGCCCAGGGCTTAGATGGCCCTCAGCCCCACTAAGAGGCTTTTGTCCAGGGAAGGGAGAAGGGACAGGGCAGTGAGCTCTGCCCCCATCTTGGGGCACCCTGGCCCCCAGAAAGAGGAAGGCCCCCTGCTGGAGCCTTACACTGGGACACCCACAGTCCTGCCACAGGGGTCTTTATCAGGGGCACAGCCCTGTCCTGGGGAGACCCCACACTCCTAATCTTGACTCCTTGCCCACTCTGTCCCCGGCCCCCGCATTCCGAGACCCGTGGGCCTTCCCCCTGGATAAAGCTAATCCAGCCTGGGAATGTGGGCTGGGAAGGTCCTGAACAAAGGGCACTTGTGTCCCAGGCCACCTGAGGATGACGTGCTGGTGGTCTCAGGCCATTGCCACCCTTCCTCCCCCCCACCCCGTGAAGAGGCCACAAGTAGAAATGGGACTGGGGGAGATGGGGACATACAGCCCAAGGCCTTTAGGGCAGACTTGTAAACCAGGACAGTGGGGGAGGGTCTCTTCAAAACAGCCAGTAGCTTTCAGCACCCATTCTCCAAGGGGGACACTCTCCCCTCTCCCCCAAATCAGACACTGTTCTCTGTGTCTAGTTCCTTTATTTCTCACGGTTTACAAAAATGAAGTGGAGATACAAGGGCACGAGGCATGGGCCTCCTCCTTGCTGGAGCAGAGAAGGAAGGAAAGGCTTGGGGGCAAGAGGCAGCCCCCTCGGAGATTCCTGGGGCCATGCACAGGAGAGAAGCTGTTTGGCCCCCACTTCTGCCTGCTTCACTTGGAAGGCTCCAGGCCTCAGGAGGTGGGTGGAGGTCAGCTGGGCTCATGGGTCCACTGCTGCCCCCTCCCCTCTGGCAGCTCTGAGACCCCAGGACATTGTCGGGGTACAACCTCGGACCACGGCAGAGGTGGACATCTCAGCGGATGAGGGGCGCTGAGCGGTCATTGGTGACAGTAGGACGAAGCTTCACGGTGGCAAAGGGATTTGTGCCCCTGTCGGGGGAAGAGCCTGGGATGAAAGGGCAGCCTCCTCCCCCATGAGATGAGTCCCAGGGAAGGCTGGTGGGCAGCCCAACCGGTACCCGCCCACCCCCCCAGCAGGGAGGCTCACCGAGGAAAGAGCTCAGGAGGGTTCTGTTCCCAGGCCATCAGCTTCTACAGGGATGGGGGTAAGAGACAGGAGCCCCTGATTGGTGGGTCAGGAGCACAGGAGCCCGCTCCTCCCCTCACTTGTCCCTGCCCATCTCAGCGAGTCCACCTCCCGGAATGAGGCCTGAGGACTTCAGATCTGAGAAGGTCCTGGGGTAAAGTGTCTTGTCCCTAGGATGAAGTACCCCCCCATAATAGGATGACTCATGCCCCGTGTCCTCCTGCCCCACCTGACCAGGCCCTGCCTCCCTTGGGGTCCTTGAAACCAATGTTCCTCCTTCTCCCCAGACTCAACCTCTTCCTCCTCCTTCCCTGACAGACAGACAGATGGAAGGACCCTGCTCGCTGCTTGGCCCAGAGCAGGCTTTACCTGGTCTCCTGCCTCCCTGCCTGCAGGACGGCCCAGCGCTGAGGACAGGCTGGATGGCTCACCTTAACATCACTGGCCACCCCCATGCTGCCCATGCTGCTCCGGCGGCTGCCAGGCAGGGGTGTGGGGGTGGGGCTGGGGGCTCGGCTTGGGACCCGGCTTGGGGTGCGGGAACGGGACTGGCCATCCCGGTACTCGGAGGGGACAGCTGAGCTGCCTGGCCGGTCCAGCAGGTCATCGAGGCTGTGGCTTCCCCGGAGAGGGTAAGACCTGAACCGAGGCGAGAGGCAGCAGGGTCAGGCCCCGCGACCCCAGCCCCCAGGCGCTGGCCTCCCCCTGGGCACACGGACTGGGGGCAGTCTTGAGAGGAGGTCGAGGGATAGATACAATGGGCTTCACATAAAGAGGGGACACCCAAGCCTTCTCCAGGGGCTGAAGGGAACAGGGTCACTCACGACTGCACCTCAAAGACACCACCCATGGTAGATGGAGCCACCCCTGAGGTCCCCGTACCTGTCCCATCCCTGGCCATCCAGGTACCTGGAAGGTGGCTCGTTCATGGAGTTCATGGAAGTCATGGGGCTCAAGGGATTCACAGGACTCATAGGACTCATGGGATTCAAGGGAACCCCTTCCACAGGCTTCACGTAGGCCTCAGGGAACCAGCCGCTCCTGCAGGGGGTGCAGAGAGCCCCTCAACCAACATCCCAGTAACAATGACCAGAGAAATTCTCCAAGGTGCGGGCATAGGGCAGTGTGCAGCCAGGGTCAGAGGGCTCGGAGCGTCGTGACAGGAACACGTTTAATCCTCCGAATGCGGGCTTTCCTGGCACTCGGGGCCCTGCCTGCCCAGCTGGCCTAACACACCTGCCCAACCCAAACCACACCCGGGCTGAGGGGGTCCTAGTGAGGAGGAAGCGGGGCTCCAAGAAGGAAAGGCATTTGCCCAAGAGACCATGCATTTCCTCCTGTGCCAAACACCCGTGTCTGTGCCCACACTGCACGGGGTCCCTGTTCCTCTAGAAGCTCCTGGTCCAGTAAGGAGACAGACCCCAAAAAAGATGGGGCCAAGACAGAAAGCTCTAGCAGAACAAGACCATTTCCACCTGGTGTATGTCTGTTGCATCATTTAAGCCAACGGATGAGGAAACACTCCCTTCTTAATGAGGCACGGAAGGAATCAGAATGTACCCACAAGGGTAGTTTCAGAGCACTGGTCTGAAGGTTTGGAAGTCTGCTGTCATGGGCACTTGCCCGGTGGCAGCCTGGTGCCCTCCGTCCTGCTGTGTGGCTGGTACAGTGGGCACCCCCTGCGGGTGTTTGTGTCGTCTGTGTTCTCTCATTTCTCTCTTCCCCAACCGTTCACAATCCACAGTCACCTGTCCCTGATTCCAAGCCCCATCCATCCATGCGCCCACTGACCTCTTCGTCCTCCACACAGTCACACCATCATCTGCAGATCCATGAATCCATCTGTCCACCCCTGCACACACTGCCTCACTCATCAGTCCATGGACGCACACCACATCCATGCTTCTTCCCATGCCCCCAACCACTCAAGTCATCTCCTCCCATCCACTCAGACAAGCACGCACCTGTCCATACAGCCATCCTGCACCTGTCAGTCCACTCGTCCACCATCGACTAACCCACAAAACCACCCCCTCAGCCACTGATCCACCCACCAACCCAAGTGACCACCCATCTATCCATGGATCCACATGCATAGCTGCTAGCTGTTTTATGTATGAACATGAGTTTAACATCCATCCATCCAGGCACCCATCCATCCAGCATGTGTGTATAACATCGATCCATCCATGCACCCATCCATCCAGCATGTGTGTATAACATC